AATTATACAAGAATTAATATTTTTAAGGAACTGTAATAATTTTTTCAAAAATTAATATTTTCATTTGATTGTACACATCTATTAGAGTAAAACAAAGTACTGTTAATTGTACAATTATTTAAAAATTAATATTTTCAAACAAATATAATTTTTTTCACGTCTTTATACTAAACAAAATTAAAATAAAAAATTAATATTTTAAACAAATTGTAATATTTTTGTTTACATATGACGTAAAACATATTACAAAAAAAAAATTGTGGTTTCGAGTAAATTGTAGTTGAAAAATATTTTTCTTTCAAGCTATTCAACTAACTGCTAAGTAGCACAAATATTAAATACAAATTTTGAATTACTTACCTTTTCCGATCAAATGAGCGTCTTTTTTGAGTGAATGTGGAAAATGTTTCCGGCTAAATGAATGTGAGAATGAAACTTGAATTAAAATACGAAGAGAGTGAGTGAATGTGACAAATAATTGTAGCTAAATGTGTGGATGGAGGAGTGAATGAGAAGGAGCTAAAATTAATTAAAACGTGTGAAGAGTGAGTAAATGTGACAAATAATTGTAGGTAAATGTGTGGATGGGAGAGTGAATGTGAGGATAATGAGTGAACGAGAAAAAGTAAATGTCATAACCATTTTATTGTGTTACAATAATTGAATGTATATATATATATATATATATATATATATATCAGTGGTTTCTTTAAACTTTCTTATGTTGCAATTTGAAACTTTTTGGCAAATTATAAATTTCTTTTTAATTCATTTTGTTCCATTAAAATTTTATATTCACAAAAAAAATATATCAACGTTTTGTACAATTCAAATTTTATATTGAAAAAAAAATATTCGATAAATTTCTTTAATTTATTAAAGCTAATCGAGTTAATCGATTTTTCCTTACTAACTGTTAAGTAGCACGAAGTTTATTTTATTTCCACATACATGATCACACAGAATGACAGATATGTTCACATATTATTGAAAACAAAAATATAAGGGACGTTAACATTTATATTGAAACAATATATTTTTTGACATTTGACGTGTAGTTCTCGACATTAAATGTCTTCTAATCTGGATACTTGACAATACATTTGTATAGAACGACATTTCAACTAAAGTATAGGATTTCTCCACATTTCATTAGAACATTGACATCTCCTACTCCACTATATGAGATAATAACGTTATAAACTATTTTCAACACACAACATTCGGAACATTTCACTAACTTATAAACCACCGGTTTACATCCACAAAATATTACATACCACTATATAAACAAAAATATGCAAACCATTGTCTAAACCAAAATACATTTTTTGTACCACGACATAAACCAAAATACATATTGAAAAACCACCATATAAATCAAAATAGGTGAACCTCTAAATTCCACGCATCCCTCTTACCCCTCTTGCGACCAGATCGTGTGTATGGTGTCTTTGTGTTTACATTAGCCTTCTTCAGCCTCAACGATCGAGATCTACGTGTAGGTGGATCAGCTGCCATCGAAGTTCTAGAAACGATGCTATCATGAACCAGTTGATCATCAATGGTCACACCAACTGTAGGTACAACGGCTGGTGCCTCTTTCACAATATCACAAGCAACATATACTAACCCAAGTATTTCAACCCCACCTCCCGACGTTATGGACACATCAGAGATATTGCAAACAACTGGTTCGATTACCTCTCCGACATCCTGTCTGTCTGCAGAAATATTGGGAGTGAAAACATCATGTCGGGGCTCGTCTCCACTGCGAGCATCGTGACCAAATCCACCATACTCAGCACCAACATTGTGTTGTCCAATTTTTGTAGCAACTTCATCAAACCTTCGTCGAAGAACATTCATCTCATCAGTTACATGATTTCTCAAACCACACATATGACCTTCTAGATCATTTTGGAGACTAGCGAATCTTGTGTTCATTTCTTCTCTCAAATCCCCTATCTTGCTCTCAAATGCCTCCCGTTGCTCATTCAAGATAACTCTTATCTCATTTAAAGACACATGTCTTTCAACGATAGGATCCCTATACTCTTCTTCTCTGCCTTCAACCAGATGTAAACCTCGATAACGAGGTTTACCTTTGTTGCCTCTTCGGGATTTATTTGGTTGATGGTTGTTGTCATCGTTCCGTATGACATCATCTTCAACTGGACAAGTTTGTATTTCTATTGATTGAGCAACAAGACCATCTAAAATGGGGTCGGCTGCGTCTTCCAATGGAACTAGATTGACGAAGTACGGCTGTAATTCTTCTGCAACAGTTGCTCGCAGCGTTGTCCACAAGTGCACCTACAGGAGAAGAAAAATAGGCGAAATGAAAAAATATATATATTGCTGAGTGTAAGGCTGTTAAGTACGTAAATCTCCTACATTTGTCTTCTCAAAAAAATCTAAATATGTTCGGGAATGAGGTTGTTTCATGCCAGACCACCGCAACATTCTCGGGACATCGTCACAAGTCTTGCTCGAGAATCGAGTTCCCAACTCCGGAATTGCCTCGTACGCCCAAATCTGCATGACATTTGTAACAGTAATAACCATATTTGGAGATAAATAACAATGAGCGATGAGAAGAACTGAAATCAACCAAAATAGATGTATACCTGGACAACAAGAGGGAATCCGTACAATGTGTAAGTCATCCTATCACAATCATTCACTTTTACCATGTCCGCATTTCTTCCCCATCCACGTAGTAGTGATTTGATGAGAAGTTGAAAACATACTGTTTCCCATGAGTAGGCATTGAAAAAATTCAAGTCGTCAACGATGGAAAGAGTTGTCGAATTTATTCCTATATTTTGATACCTTGAATTAAATACCCCTTCAATAATTAGTGCCAACCTAAGCTTGTAACGATCGTTACGATTGGCACATTTCAAAAAAGCTTTCTCCAGGTCGCTACACGTTATCCGGTTCATATTAGCAAACATTTTATCTTGTAGACGAGTTTTCTCTAGAATTTTGTCAACTTCGGCACCTTTAGGCACTGGACTGCACTTCAAGCCAGTAATTAGTGCGAACTCCGGCAGTTTAAATCGTGCAAACCTTTGGTTTACCTTGAACCAAGCTTCAAATCGCTTTCGGCATACCACCGATCTGTTTACCATTTCATGAATTAATTGAGCAGATAGTTTCAGCTCCGGTAACCTTGCAACATGTCCTATACAATTGTCCTCCAACTGACGCTTTTGCTGTGGATCCAATTTGTCGAGGACAATTGATATATATTTTGTGTTGCTCAGTTGCGACACACGGGCCGGAACACGTTCTTCCTCCGGAATATTATATCGGTGTGTCATACTCATCTACAAATAAAAACAAATGAAAATAATACTTTAACAAATACTATGAGAACGTACAAATGAAATCAAATATGACATTCTTGTTAAAATGCAGTGCAAGAAAAATGATTTTTACAATACAATGGTTTGATAAAATACCATATCTAAACTAAGTTGTTTAATTGTTGAAATTAAAACAAACCTGACTTCTGATCTGAAGCTATCATGTAACCATTTTATAGTTGATCACCATTTAAACAATTCAAAAGTATATACACAATCTTCTACAATTTCATTAAGTTAATTGCCTAATTTAGATATGCAAATAAACCAAAAATGCAATATTCTTTAACAAAATAAATAACAACAACATGGCCTTGTATTAAATAAATTTAGAGCCAACTATAACAGACCATACACAAAATCAAGTATACATTTCATAAGATTTGACAAAGTTTTCTATCTGTTATCAACCTATCACAGTCTTCCTCCATAAGAAACCATCAATATACAAATGCAACCCTCAACAAGATGCAGAACAAATTTGATGTGAAAGTGAAGCCATTTAGTTACTGATTAGCATTCAAACAGTCTAAGAGTTTATAATAGCAACATAATCTTTGTCATTTCATCATGTTTATTGCCTAACTTAGATACGAAATATGCTTCAAATGGAGTATTCTTCACTTCGTACTAGTGTTATTTATCATCTAGCAGCATCATATTTAGTTGATATATAGATTATATCTCAAAGTAAAAGATACAATAACAGGGACAATAGAAAGTACAATCATTTTCCTGATTTCTTTAAACACTTTACCTCTTCAACCTTTTCGGCAGTATCTCACATGTACCACTTTTTATCTCAAATTGAATCAACAGTTTGTATTTAGGAAGAAGAAGCGAGACATTCAGTGACCTTGACATCAATTTATGTTAAACTAATTAAATCTTAGGATTTAGGAAAAGGGGAGACTTGAGGAAGTAAAAAAATAACGAAATAAAGAAAAAAAATAACGAAATAAACTTACTCTAAGCACTGGACTCTGAAGTGTGGTGGGCAAACGGCAACTGGAAAAATAAAAGAGAAATGGACAGGCTCGTTGTCGACGGGTTGGGTCAGAGTGAAGATTGAGAGACTGAGAGTGAGAGTTGAGAGGACTTAGTTTAGGGCTTCTTTTATTTTTTCATCCCCCCGCCTTCATTTTTTTTTTTTTGTATTCGGGTCTGGTTCTATCAGGTTTTCCATTTTTAACCCATAACTCGATCCAACTCGACCCGCACATACTAGACCCATAACCCGACCCACACCTACCCGACCCAGGCATTTAATGCTGATTGACATTTCTACATTGATTGACATGAATAATGATATGAAAAATTTTGAATTCTTGTGTGGAAATAATATTTTCTAACAGGGGTATTTTTGTCTACATAATTGAAAAATGAACATTGACAAAATTGTGAACATTTTTACAAATGACTCGCTGAAAATGGACATTACGTGAAATTTCCTCTTAAATTTAATAAATATCTAATTTTTGAAATTTGAAATTTTTATTCTTAGTTCTGAAATTGTAGAAACTCAACTTCTTAGTTTTGAATTTTTTTTTTTGGGAGCATAATTTGATTTGAAATGAGACGTCACACGTGCCTTACCTGAATCCAAAATTCCCAATTCACACGAAGGAAAACAAAACCCTCACCTTGTCTTTGAGGTTTTGAAATTGAAAACTGAAAACCCTCTCTCCTCTCCCTCTCTCTCTCTAGATAAGATCTATACAGAAATTCACATATATGAATGATTTCTATACATCGACTGGTTTGAAGTGCTGTATGTGTTGAGTGAGATAGATACGGAGACATATTAGGAATTTTTTGATGTACGTAAATGGAGGCTATACTGACCCAGTGTGTGCAAAACAGCCTACGGCACTTCATGTATCGCAATGCCATTTTCATGTGCGAACGCCTCTGTGCAGAGTTCCCATCCGAGGTATTCACTTTTAACATAGTATCTTAAATAACTTAGTAAATAGTTGAATTTTTTTTTTTTTGGCTGTAATATGCTTCCTGCTTTAGTTTTGCAGCCATTTCTGTAGGTTCCTTGCATCGATTACAAATTTATCTACAGTTCAATTCTGGGTTTTGCTGAATAACCGAGTAACTATGCTGATGCAGCATCTTTATGTATGCTTCATATGTAAATAAATAGTTGAAATCGGAGGGAATTAAGTAATGAGTGCCCAAAATTGTCATCTATGTTTTATGAAGTGTTGCTTCTTTCAATTGTAAAACACTGGAAACTGAGACATAAGTATGTAATACCGCAGCAAAAAGTTGATAAATGATCCTCATTTAAATAAGTGGTTTGAATATGAGGGATAGTTTAGTAGTCAAGCTTTGCTCCCCAATGGTCACTAGTTCGAGTTTCCTCAAAACTACTGAGGTGAATATCTAACTGTAAATTTCAGGGCTCGTGAGATTAGTCGAGGTGTGCGTAAGCTGGCCTGGACATTCATAGTAAAAAATAAAAAATAAAAAAAAAGAATTTAAATAAGTGGTTTGGACTTGAGACTTGAGAGCATATCATTTGTTTGTTTTTGGGATTTTGTTGCGTGTTCTGGGCATAGCTGTGTAGTTGATAGAGTGGAACCCTTTGTGTTTAATATAGAAAATATCCTATAACATTTTGTGATATGAGAAAGATGGATGATATCCGGTTTATGCTGTCTAAAAAGTAAATGTTATTGCTTCATATTTAGATGAAATATTATGATGTTTGGTCCATTTATCTATAAGTTTGTGCTTATATTTTGTTGTTTATTAATTTATTATATCAATTCAATACAATAAATTATACTCTACAATTTTCAAGCCTTTCAATTTATTTATTTCAAGGGCCGTCTCCTCTCGAGGATGGCGACTTCTCCCCCAACATCCAAAACCAAACCACCAGCCACTTTCACCGGTTTGGGCATCCTCAAATCCACCAGCCTCACGCCACAAAGATACAACCGCTCCTACCTGAAGGTGGTCATCAATCCTAACGACGCCGCTCGTAGCGATGGGGATACAGAGGCTTCAAGTGACCTCATCTATGGAGTTAGAAGGAATTTCACATATTCGGTGAGAAAGAAATCGAAAGGTCACCCCCTATTCACTCTCGATCCGACCAATATTAGGGCCCACGCGCCTTATCGGTCAGCTGTACAGGTCATTCCTACCATGACTAGGCCATCATTGAGTGGACGCGCTGTTTCGACACCAAGCTCACAACACATGATGCCTATGTGTCGGTGCCAAAAAATGTGCAGAACCACCACGTAGTGTCTAGGCCAACCTATGCCACAAGTTTGATGGTTTTCAGTTCTCGGTTTAGAGTGGAGGCAAAGGAGTTCGTATTGTTTATTAATGATTCAGGCATTGTTAAGTTGTCGAAATGGGGGTCGAGGATATTGGACGCAATTTGCATGAGGAGATTTGGAGCTATTTGGATGGTAAATATGTTGGACAAGCTGAGGGTGACGGGCAAGTTATAGGAGTTTGTCGCCAAGTTTAACAAGTCTCCTCGAGCTTTTTTGGCACAACGATGTACCAACAGTCGTGGTAAGTATTTAATGATAGCACAATATGGGGAGAGGCACCGAAAGGGAGTTGTGATGGTGCCAGAGGGTGCAAATGGAGAGGGATGGGCTTCGGTTTCGTGGGTGTTTCAAGCAGTCATTGATTTCTTTGTTGCCAGTGATAAGGTAAAATGTCGAACATATGAAGAAAAGAGACGAGAATGAATATATTTTTTCGGAGTTACGACGAATTTACAGGCTTCGCAGCACACCGATCAAGGAGTAATAATGGGTAAGGAACGGGCGATTAATGAGGGGAGTGATTCACGCGAGAAGATCTTGGGATCCAATAAGGAAGGTTATCTATTGGCGCACAAGTCTAAGAAATCTAATACAGAAGGTATATGTGATAGTATTTACAGTGATGAAATAAGGAATCACATCAAGGCCATCAAGGGGAATTGGATGAATTAACATGGTTACTGGATAGTGGGTATGTAGTCGGCACCAGGAAGATTTCTTGTCATGTGTAGGTTGGGCTTGGATGAGTACACTGTCAATGGAAAAAAAGGTATCAAACTTGGATTCTAAGGCGGTGGTGGTGGAGCCATGTGGTGAGTCTCAGGTGTTAGTGAAATATGAGGAAATTAGAAGAATTAAGTGGTTGCTAGGATTTTTTTAATTGTCGTTTCAGTGTCTTATTGGAGAGTAATTGAGCGAATATGAAATCGCACTCAACATGGGGTATATCTAAGAGCCTCTCAAGTACTGAATACTGATTTTGGGCAACTTGGTTTCGTTTCTGTTCGGTTGATTGAGAAATTTCTTCATTGTTGATCGGAATCTAGTCGGTGGACTCTCGATTGAAATTTTTAGAATGGGGATGCTGCTGTGCTGGGCTGGGCTGATTAGTTTTTATTTGGATGCATTATTGAGCTAATTATTGGCTTACAATAAGCTTTCCATTTTAATTGGATTGTGGATAATTGGTGATTGATTTTATGGTTAATTGGTTTATTCATTTTATTGGGCTAAAATTTGGGAGAAATAGATTTGAATACCTTTAATGAGGGATTTTGCAATTATAACGTGATATTTTACTATATAAAAGAGAGACATGGGAGTACAGATCTTTATGTTTTGGTTGCTCGAGTGATGAGCTAGAGTCTTGGATGGTTTTTGGATTCTCAGAAGAGGATCATCTTGATTTTTTTGACGTACGTTGTTTTGTGTGAATTTTTCCAATTTCAACATCTTGTTAGCGATATATTGCTGGTGTATTGGCGTTAGAGCTTTTGTTGGAACATGAATTATGTGTTCAACTGAGTTTTCCTAACCAATAGAGTTCACTCTGTGTGTCGGCACACTTCGTGAATTTTTTTTGGAAAATCTTCTTGGGGTGTGAGCTCTTAAGAGTGTTCTTGGAGTGGCTTTGGAACAGTTCTTGGTTGTTTTTGCACTATTTTGTTGTTCTTGGTCTCTCGTCATCATTAGTTTTCGTAGATGTTGCTTTGATTTGGATTTCGTATTTGTGGGCACAAGTATTGTCACTGTCGCTAGTTCAAGATTGCAAATTGATACTTTTACCAGCATCGTGAAATATAAGGAAAGAATATAAAGCATCAATCTTTATATTTAGAAGGTTATCATTAATGAATATTTTAATTGATAGTTAACCAGATTTAGTTTGAGTTTGGTTCTATATAATGAGAAAACCTCTCACATCGAGGGGCATCAAGTATTATTTAGTTTATTTGACATCAGGCACAGACTGAAGTGGTGGAGGGATATTGGATGTGACAAAAGATAATTGGTCAACGATGGTGGGTGCGTTGGATAAGAATTTAGCAGAAGGATTAGTGTCGACAACGGAGTAAGAGACCGGAATTGTATCGGTAGACAAATCAGCGTCGACAATTGAGAAACAACATGGAGCGATAGGTTCAGCAACTACTGTAGGGAATACTTACTGCAGGTGGTATTCAGTCTCTAAAAGATGGTGACTCAAGGAATGATAAAGCTTTGGTGGTGTGGGTTGATGGCATCGAGAAGGAGGGGTAGAGGAGGGACACCACAATGACCCTCTATACTTTGAGGACATAGTGAAAGTTAAGGTGCTCGAAGTTAGACTGCTTTCAAATTAGGTCCTTAAAAAAATTTTGGATTGCAGTAAGATGGTAGGTTTGTCCTGCGATGGGTATGAAAATAGGCTCTTGCAATTATTTGAGGACTGGAGGCTAGTAGGGGATAGGGGATGGGTACTCCGGAGGTAAGACAAGAAGAAAGGGAGATCGTGAGCTTAAGCGGCTTGAATGCTAGATTAATTATGACATCAAGGGTGGAGAACCAAGGAGAGGATCGATAGGGAGGGATGTCAAAGTGTTAAGATGATTTCAAAAATAATTAGTTAGAAGTTAGAACTTGAGGGGGCTAAATTAAGCTGGGAAAATGTCAAGTGTTCGAAATTTGTTAAAGGGATGGAAGGCCGACCTTGTATGCTTATAGGAAACAAAGTTGGAAGTTGTTTTGAAGACTGACGTGAACAGCTTATGGGGGGACAACATGTTTGGTATCAGTTTGTGGGGTCTTCAAGGGTTTCAGGCGTGTTAGTCATGTGGGATAATAGAGTCTTTGACATGGAGGAGGTTAGTGAAAGGCTTTTTTCTCTATCGTCGTTTTTTAGAAATATTGGGGATAGTTTTCTTTAGATGTTTATAGGAGTTAATAGGCCGAATGATGATGAAAGTAGAGGTGGATTATGGGGTGAGTTGGTTGGCATGATGGCTTGATGGAACCTCCCAACGTGTATTAGGGGCGATTTTAATGTGATTCGGTTTCCTATCGAAAGGTCTAGTGATGGTAGATTAATAGGGACTATGGAGGATTTCTCAAATTTTATCAGGGAAAATAGATTGGTAGAACTGCCTTTGAATTGGGAGAGAGTTCACCCGGTACACAGAGGTCACGCAGAGGAGACTTGGGAGGGTGTATTTAGATCATTTCCCTATTTCCTTAACTGGGAATGTGAGATGGAGTGGAAGAAGACCTTTTAGGTTTGAGAAGATGATGTTGAAAGTCGAAGGCTTCGAGGATCGAGTTTGGACTTGGTGGGCATCATATGATTTCAGGGTTTTCCTGTTATGTGTTGAATCAAAAATTGAATATTTTTCATTTTAAAGAGGTGGAATGAGGAGATGGTGGGAGATGTTAACTATCGTAAAAATCAATGCCTGTCAAATATTGAAGAGTTGGATAGGAGGGAGAAGAGTCGAGGATTGGCAGGGGATGAGAGAGAGATGGGGGGAGTTAAGGGTAGAGTTGGAGAGGTTGGTGGAGATGAAGGAGATTGCTTGGCACCAGAAATCTAGGGTCAATTGGTTGAAAGAGGGGGACAAATGCACCCACTTTCTTCATAGGGTCGCTAATTTGAACAGGCGTAACAACTCCATCAATACGTTAGAGGTTGATGAGGTTACTTATGAGGATCCATGGGATATTGGGACCCACATAATGAATTTCTATAAAAATCTTAATAGGGAACAATTTGACTGGAGGTCGGATTTGGTAGGGCTAGATTTTTCCACTGTCATTGTGGAGGATGCCAGTTGGTTAGACCTTTTGGGGAGGATGAGATTAGGGAAGTGGTGTTCAGCATGAATAACCCCAGGATCGGATGGATTCTCCCTTGTTGGGAAATGGTGCGATCGGATGTTGTAGATGTCTTTGCTTATTTTTTTCAGTGTGACAGGTTTTTGAGAAGTTCTAATGCTACATTTATAGTGCTGATTCCTAAGCAATCGGGAGCGACAGATATCAAGGATTTTAATCCTATAAGTTTAGTAAGTGGAGTTTACAAGATTATTGCGAAGATTTTAGCGAATAGATTAAAGGAGGTCTTGGGGAAAGTGGTGTCTAAGTTTTAAAATACTTTTATTAGAGGGCGCTAGATATTGGATTTAGTACTTATAGCAAATGAATGCATTGATTCAAATACTGCGTCTGGGTTCCAGGGATGTTATGTAAGCTTGATATTTAGAAGGCCCATGACCATGTGGACTGGGGTTTCTTGTTGTATATGTTTAGACGATGTGGTTTCAGGGATATGTGGTGCTAGTGGATTTAATTTTGTATTTCAACGGTTTCTTTCTCAGCTCTGGTGAATGGCACTCCTAAGGGTTATTTTCGGAGTAGTAGAGGTTTGAGGCAAGGGGATATCTTCTCGCCATTGTTGTTTGTTTGTTATCGTAATGAAGGCTTTCAATATGATGCTAGAGAAGGCTGTGGGGGAGAGTTTTTTAAAAGGCTTTATGATTGATCAACTAAATGTATCACACTTGGTACTTGCAGATGGTACACTAAACTTATGTGATGTAGACGTTGAGCAATTCAGGAACTTGCGCCGTTTGCTTATGTGCTTTGAAGTTGTATCTGGATTGAAAATTAATTTGGGGAAATCCAAGGCTATCTCAATGGGAGAGGTTGTTAACGTAGGAGAATTGGCTGACGTATTGGGCTGTAGGGTTGCTCAACTGCCTATGACTTTATCTTGGGCTCCCTTTAGGAGCATGGTTTAAATGTATACATATATGGAACAATATTGTGGGAAGGTGGAGTGGAGGTTATCGGGTTGGAAGCGTATGTATCTCTCCAAAGGAGGCCATCTTGCTCAAGTCCACTCTACTGAATCTCCCTACTTATTTCTTGTCATTATTCCCGATTCCTATTACGATGGCAAAAAGATTGGAGATGAATCAAAGGGAGTTTCTTTGGGGGGATTAGGGGAGGAAAGGAAATTTCATTTGGTCAATTGGGCAGAAGTTTGTTCTCCTAAAAGGTTAGGGGGTCTCGAATTGTGGAGCCTTATATTATTTAATAAAGCCTTGTTGGGTAAGTGGCGGCGGCGGCGATTCGGAGAGGAGGGATAGTGTTTGGAGAGAAACTATCGGGGCGAGATACCATGTTATGGAGGGGGGATGGTGCTTAGTCAAAGGTCGTGGTTCATATGGAGTGAGCTTGTGGCAGTATATATGACGATGGTGGAATGACTTTCAGGAGAGAGTGACTTGTGGTGGGGGGATGACAATACTATCAGTTTTGGGATGATTGTTGGTATGGAGATCAACTGTTAAGGGTGGGATTTCCTTTCTTGCATCGTATTGCTGCGGAGCCGTCAACTATGGTGAATGAGGTCTTAGATGTACACAATAGGATTCATAGTAGGAACATTATTTGTGGGAGAGGTTTGCAGGATTGGAAAGTGGACGATTATGCGCTTCTCTTGACTTCTTTGTACGAGGTGCACATCAGTGTAGGAGAAGGTGATCGTAGTAGATGGGGGTTGACACGGAATGGTATGTTTTTGGTTGGCACTTATTTTAGATCCTTATTGGGATCTGTAGAGAGTTCATTCCCTTGGAAGATGGTATGACAATGTAAATTGCCTCCATGGGTGGCATTCTTACTATGGGCGGTTGTTAGAAGACAGGTGTTAAGAGTAGACAATTTTCAAATAAAAAGTCGGTATGTTACAGAGTGACGCTATATGTGTAGGAGGGATGGGGAGACAATTGACTATTTATTCGTCTTTTGTGATGCTGCTCGTTTGTTGTGGAATGAGATTTTGGCAACTCAACATATGGATTGGGTGATGTCGAGGTGAATAGAAGATGTGTTAAAGGTATGGGGGAGAAAGCTTTGCGATATGGATAGCAAAATTATTTGGAACCTCGTTCCGGGTTGTATCATATGGTGTGTATAGAGAGAGAAACAGTCAGTGTCTTGATGATGAAGCACGGATAACACATAAGATTTGAGAATTGTTTTATTTGACATTGTATACTTGATTTAATGCTGCGGCTACAAGTCACATAGACGGACTGTCCAATTTTATGTTGTTTCTTTCTTGTTTAAATTAATAATATACTTCATGTGTATTATCTTTTGATAATAAAATAATGGATAATTAGCACAAAATGTCCCTACCTTTCATGTCTATTGTGGAAAACGTCTTTACCTTTCATTTTTTTGGTATTTTTGCCCCTATTTCCACATTTCTTGGTGCTGAACGTTCTTTTCACCATTTTTGGACAATTTTACCCTCCATTCAAATAAATCAAAAAGAAAAGAAAGGAAACAACAAATAACTAATTGCAACCATAGTCCCCAATTTAAAAAAAATTACAAATCAGTCACAAATATATACATTTTTTAAAGACAGTATATAATTGTATAATTTGAACGTGCACTGTGCATGGAAGTGTCTTGGAAATGGCTCATCAAACCATTATTGAAAATTGAAATCCATTTCTCGTTCCAAATTTTCCGCTTTCTAAAATCCATTTCATCTTTATTTTCTCTAGCTAGAATCAATTACATTAGATGGCAAATCTAGCAGAAGTTTCGGCAATTGAACAAATTAGAATGCATCTTCTGGGGGCGTTTTCTCCAACAGATCTCTTGTTTGTTGCTGAGATTGAAAGAACTAGTAGCAAAAATTCATCAATTTCGAGCTCTCAATCTGACTATTCAGTTTCGATTTCTGATTATATTATGAATTTTGAGCAGAATAATTTTGATTTTAGCTACTTTTTAAGCCCCGAGTCCGTAGATTTGGGGCAAAATCAATTAAATCCTCCAGTTATAGACCTCACTACACCAAATGCGCAAAAAGTGACTGAGAGCAAGCCTTCATTGAAGATTGAATTGCCGGAAGTAAAGAAATTTGACTGGATCGACTTCTCCGAGTTGACTCATTCGAACTAGGGGACGACGGTGCAGGACAACTCGGCTGTGGAGGAGAAGACCACAGCAGAGGTGTAAGACGACGGCCGTGGGGTAAGTTTGCGGTGGAGATCAGGGACTTGAATCGGCGCGGCTCCTTTTATATTTGTGACTGATCTGTAATTTTTTAAAAATTGGGGATTGTAGTTGCAATTAGTTATTTGTTGTTTCCTTTATTTTCTTTTTGTTTTATTTGAATGGAGGGTAAAATTGTCCAAAATTGGTGAAAAGGACGTTCAACGCTAAGAAAGGTGGAAATAGGGGCAAAAATGCCAAAAAAATGGAAGGTAGGGATGTTTTCCACAATAGATATGAAAGGTAGGGACGTTTTGTGCCAATTACCCTAAAATAATTGATTACCTATCAAAATTTTTTTATTTTTTATTATTATTATTTTTTATAATGTTCGATGGCATAAACTAAATTTGACTATCATAGCTTTGTCTCCTTAATGGTTTACCATGTTTAATGCAGACAAATTTGCAGTTGCTTGCCAGCTGTTACTTGCAAAACAATCAGTCACATTGTGCATACTACATTTTGAAGGGTATGTTGAGATGCGATATTTTCTTTTTACAACTAAAAGAGGCACTCTTTTTGTTGTCTGAGCATCTTTCTTGAGATTCGATTCTTTATGTATTTTCTCTGCTTCCTTGAAGTGACATTCACTTTTTTTTTTATCTGTCTTTAATTGTTTGAAGGAACGCATACGGCTCAATGCCGCTATTTGTTTGCGCTATCATGCTTTCAGATGGATCTTCTAAATGAAGCTGAATCAGCATTACGACCCCCTAATGAGTCCTCTGCTGAGGTATGCCCATAAAGCACGTATCACTGATCTTTGATGTTAATTTTATGGCATGTATGAACATCTTTCATTATCTTATATTTCCTTGATGCCAGTTTCGAGCTAGGTGATATTGTTTCCTACTCTTTTTCTATACTGGTCATGAGTTAAAATGTTCCTTTGTTGAGGTGGAGTGGTCATGGTTATGTACTCATAATTGCAGGTTCCAAATGGAGCTGCTGGCCATTACCTACTTGGTCTTATTTACAGGTGTCTATTTTCTTTTTCTTTCTCGAGTGCATTATTTTACATGAGGTCACCAGTGGTCCATCCTTTCTGTTATGGTACTTTGTATTCTTCTATATTAAGATTGATTTGGTAACTTTGCCTTAGCATTCTCCATTTTCTTGTGGAAATAAAATATCATAATTTCCCTTGGTTATTGTATGTGGATTTGAGTATGCAGATCCATGTTCTGTTCAGTGTGTGATGATTTCTTGGAAAAAAACTACCGAGGTTGAGCTATGACTCAAATTTTAACTTCCAAAAAAGTACGACATTATTTAAAACAGTTAGAACCATTTTAACTTCGAATTTTGCTTACTTTGTAAGGTTTTGGTTATAAGGACAATGAAATATATAATAGATTTAATATGGATATTAATGGAAGTATGGGACTTTGGTGATCATGTAACAGGAATTTGAGAACACAATGCGGTCAACACATTATCCTAAGATTTCATATATTCTCTCTTTCCAAATTCAGTAGAGGGCACATCTAATGGATCTTGTTAACTGGACCTACTCATGTATCAAAATTGAAGTTCCATTTCATGGGAATGACGTTAACTACTAACTTCGAAATTAATATGGTAGTGGAGTAAAGAACTGGCTCTTTAAGTTTTTTGATAGGCTCTCCTCTTCTACTGAAGAAATATGATGTGACTTTTTACCTTAGAGATCCTTCTGCATCCATAAAAATTAGCCATGATTTGCTTATGAGGTTTATGGTTCCATTTGAATGCTAATAATAAGTAACACATGACTTTTCTGTTATCAGAATTCAGAAGAGTAGTGAGCATTCTATAAAGTAAATTTGAAGAAGATGATGAATGATTAATGGAAATATGAAAATCATAAAAAATTATTTTTGCAAGGATAAATGATACAAGTATACAGAGGATGGTTTAGTATGTGCAGACCTAGCGATTGAGGTTGCATTTAAACTATAATTATCCAATCTTGTGGTCATCTTCACTTGGCACCAGTCCAATTAAGTGATTGAGGATGCTTTACTCTTGAGAGAGTACATATTCTAATACCATACCATCAAGTCTAAACGAGGGAAGAAGGAATTTAACATTTTGGGTTGTTGGTTGGCTCTGAAATACGTTGTCCGAGGTTAGGTTTTTTGAAGGTTTTTTTCTGGATTTTCAACATCGTGGGCTACAAATAGAAACAAGACATGAGAGAATGGTGGTGTGACGACAAAAGTTGAAAGTTGCTGGATTGGGAAGGTAGCATGGATTGATCAACAGTAAAGAACATTATTTAGAGAATAATTAGTAATGATATTGAATGCTACTTGAGGCGTGTGGTGAACGCTGTTGATATAGTTAGAGTAATGAAGTCTGCTAAAAAAGATAAGAAAATAGGAGAGAACCTAGAGATCTTGACCTGATTCTGATACTGTAAAAATAAATCTTTGATTCATTGATTTCTTACAAAATGGCAGCAATTTATAGTGTGCAATCCTCCAAAAATAGGAAACTAAATAAGGAAATTCCTAGAAATCATGTACCCTTAAAGACAGCGCTTGCATATGCCCCATCGTGAGTTTTTGTCTGTGAGATGCGAAATGGAGCTCCCCTCACAATCCAAAATAACCTAGCCACCACACCCCCACACTACCGGCGCCGGCAACCAAGTGTCCGGTAGGCACCACACAACCGGCCTCACGCCACAAATCAGCCCCTCCAACCATGCCATTCACACACAGGCGCAGTTTATTGTGGGAAACCCTAGCTCCGCCCAGTCGTTTCCGCCAGATTCGGCCACATCTCGAGGAGACGCGCCTCACCGACGGCCTCAGCAGGGACGGACGACCCCTGTCGGTGTCCTGCCCCCCACACGCGTTGCTTCGACCGCGCGTCTGCTGGTGCGTGTGGTCCACGCGCCGCCGCTGGGAAACCTGCAACGATAGCCTGCTGTCCCGAGATCAATCGACTTGTCCGTTCCTCCATTTGATGAATTGTTAGTACACAATTAGGGGAAAAAATTGACGGATGTGCGTAGTATGGTATTCAATCATCGTTTCAAAGTGGAGGCGAAGGACTTTGTAGTATCTATTAACGATTCCGGCACTGTTAAGTTGACAAAATGGGGTTCGAAGTTATCGGATTCAATCTTTATGGGAAGGTATGGTGCTATTTGGATGGTGAATATGGTAGACAGATTGAGGATGAGAAGTGAAGTTGAGGAATGTGTTTTTAAGTTTAATGAGTCTTCAAGAGCTTTCTTGGCACAACGGTTTGTGAACCATCGAGGCAGATATTTGATGATAGCACAATATGGGGAGAGGCGTCGGAAAGGAGTTGTCATGATACCAGAAGGTGTAAATGGAGAGGGATGGGCGTCGGTCTTGTAGGTGTTTCAAGCAGTTGTTGACTCATTTGTTGCTAGGGATAAGGTCAAACGACAAACGGTGATTGAACGAAACAGACAAAGGATGACTTATGCAGAAATTGCAGCAAACTCACAGATATCAGAGAATGCCAACCAATGGATGCTTCAACAAAAGGAAAGGACAAATAAAGTCGATGATAACGAAGGTCACGACATTTGTTTGAGTAGGGCTGAAATAATGCCCCGTGCGCAGGAGTTGAAAGGAGCATTAGATGAATTATTTAGATTGGTTGGAAGCGGGCCTGAAATGGAGCCCATGAAATTGGTACGCTGTCACAGGTGTGGGGTTGAGTTGGATGAGGATCAAACCGATGAAATGCACATATCGGGATTGACTCATGAGGAACTACCATCAATTAATGAACATGCAAAGCAGGGAGGAGATGAACATTGTGATTCTCAGGTGAGGATGGAAGCGGGATACCATGAAAACGATGACGGGGTCGACTTTGTGGGGGTCAACCGAACTGAAGTAGACACAGGGATTGCAGTTGAACGAAAAGAGGAACCGCTGTCTAAGGAAGGGGAGTTTAGTATGGTGAACTTGGAGAAATTGTCAAGAGACACTGTGAAAGAAAACAACTCTACACAGACGACATCAAGAATTACGAACACTTATAATAAGAGGACGAAAGATAACGATATGAGGACCGAAAAAACTTTGGTGTTATGGGTAGGTGGTGCTAAGAAAGGAGAAAGTGACAGTGACATTATACCAGTGGTGGAAGAGAAAGAACGGTCCTTTGATCATCTCGAGGGCTCTCAGGGTGAGGATACTTCAGGAGTTGATGTGTTAGAAGTTGGTCACCCACGTTCAAACTGGGTTCTACAAAAAATTCAGGAATTCAGCAAGTTGGTTGGCGTGTCATGTGATGGGTATGAAAGTAGATTGTTACAATTATTCGAGGAGCTGGAGGCTAATAGGGGACAAGACATCAGTACACATGGAAGTAAATTAAGAAGAAAGGGTGATCGTGAACGTAAGAGGCTCGAATGATCAGTAAACTATGCTGGTAAGGGTGGCGAGTCCAAGAAAGGAACAATGGGGAGGGGTTATGGAGTGTTACAATGATGCCAAAACTCATTAGCTGGAACGTAAGGGGTCTCAATGAGGTTAGTAAAAGGTTTGGTGTTTGTCATTTGCTAAGGGGATGGGGGCAAATCTTGTTTGCCTACAAGAAACTAAGATGAAGTTTATCTCGAGGGCGGTGATTCGTAGTTTATGGGGGGGGGAGATCATGTTGGATACCAGTTTTTGGGGTTATCAAGGGTTTCAGGAGGCGTGTTGGTGATGTGGGACACTAGAGTGCTTGAGATGAAGGAGGTGAGTATAGGGGTGTACTCTATATCGATTTCTTTCAAAAATTGTGAGGATGGATTTCGGTGGATGTTCACAGGAGTTTATGGGCTTAATTCTAATGATAGTAGAGTGGGTTTGTGGGATGAACTGGCTGGAATGAGGGCTTGGTGGAATCTCCCTACATGTATTGGGGGTGATTTCACTGTGATTCGCTTTCCTTCGGAGAGGTCGAGTTGTGGGAGACTAACTAGGGCAATGGAGGAGTTCTCAGATTTTATTAGGGAGAATTTGTTGGTGGATTTACCCATGATTGGGGGAGATTTTACCTAGTCATCCAATCGGGATTGACCCGTTTTGTCTCGTATTGATAGGTTCTTGATTTATGGGGAGTGGGAGTCTAAATATTCAGATGTCACTCAGAGAAGATTGGGGAGGGTATACTCGGATCATTTTCCTATTATGTTATCGGGGAATAGAAGGGGTGGTGGAAGAAGACCTTTCAGGTTTGAGAAGATGTGGTTGAAAGTAGAAGGTTTTAGGGAGCGAGTACAGATGTGGTGGACTTCCTATGAAGTCAGTGGGTCTCCCTGTTTTGTATTGAATCAGAAGCTAAGGGCGTTGAAAGGGGATTTAAAGAAATGGAATGAGGAAGTTGTAGGCAATGTTAACTGTAGTAAAAATCAGTGTCTGTCAGAGATAGAGGAATTGGATAGGCGGGAGGAGAGTCAGGGGTTGACTGGGGAGGAGAAGGAGAGACATAGAGTATTAAAGGAAGAGATGAAGAGATTGGTGGAGATGGAGGAGATTAATTGGCGACAGAAATCTAGAGTTACTTGGTTGAAAGTGGGGGATAAATGCACTAAATTCTTCCACATGGTCGTCAATTCTAATATGAGGAACAACTCCATCACAGTTTTGGAGGTGGACGGGGTTACTTATGAGGAACCACAGGAAATTGGAAGCCAACTGGTGAATTTTTATCGGAACCTCTATCGGGAGCAATTTGAATGGAGGCCAGAATTGAAGGGATTACACTTTTCTACAATCACTGAGGATGATGCCCGATGGATGGAGAGACTATTTGGGGAGTATGAAATTAAGGAGGTTGTTTTCAGCATGAATGATGATAAGGCCCCGGGACCGGACAGTTTCTCGTTCTCATTCTACAAAGCGTGCTGGGACGTGGTTCGACCGGACATTGTGAATACTTTATTTTATTTTTTTGAACGTGGCAGATTCCAGAGAAGTTCTAACGCCACATTTATTGTGCTCATCCCTAAGAAACCGGGAGCGATTGATATTAAGGACTTTCGCCCCATTAGCCTTATCAACGGGGTGTATAAGATTATTTCGAAAGTCCTGGTAAACAGATTAAAGGAGGTGTTGGGAAAAGTAGTGTCCAAGTTTCAGAATGCATTTGTCAAAGAGCGTCAGATTTTGGACTCTGTGCTTATAGCGAATGAATGCATAGATTCAAGAATGCGCCTAAGGGCCCCAGGGATGCTTTGTAAGCTAGATATTCAGAAGGCTTACGACCATGTGAATTGGGGTTTCTTGTTGTATATGCTCAGGCGCTGTGGCTTTGGGGATAAATGGTGTAAATGGATTCAATTCTGTATTTCTACTGTTTTATTCTTAGTTTTGGTCAACGAAACACTAGAGGGTTATTTCTGGAGCAGTAGAGGCTTGAGACAAGGGGATCCATTGTCCCCATTGTTATTTGTCATTGTGATGGAGGCTCTCAGTAGGATGATTGAAAGAGCAGTGAGAGTGGGTTTGATAAGGGGTTTTATGGTTGAGCAACTGTAGGTGTCTCATCTGTTATTTGCAGATGACACGTTGATCTTATGTGATGTAGATGTTGAACAATTCAGGAACTTGTGCTATCTGCTCTTATGTTTTGAAGCGGTGTCTGGTTTGAAAATCAATTTGGGGAAGTCTGAGACTATTCCAGTTGGGGAGGTCAATAATGTCGAGGAGCTGGCTGATATATTGGGTTGTAAGGTTGCGCAGTTGCTGATGTCATACCTAGGACTCCCGTTAGGGGCACGATTTAAAAGTACCCATATCTGGAATGGTATTGTGGAAAGGATGGAGAGAAGGTTAGCAGGGTGGATGCGTATGTACCTTTCTAAGGGAGGTAGACTTACTCTCATTAAATCCACTCTCTCCAATCTCCCTACTTACTTTTTGTCATTGTTCCCCATTCCGATTGCAGTGGCAAAGAGATTAGAGAGGCTTCAAAGAGAATTTCTGTGGGCAGGGTTGGGAGAGGAGAGGAGACTCCATTTGGTCAATTGGGGAGTTGTTTGTTTGCCGATGAGGATGGGGGGTCTTGGGGTGAGGAGTCTTGTGTTGTTCAATAAAGCCTTATTAGGCAAGTGGTGGTGGCGATTTGGAGTGGAGAGGGAAAGCTTCTGGAGAGAAATAATTGGGGCGAAGTATGGTGTGACCGATGGGGGATGGTGTACATTTGAGGATCGTGGTTTTTATGGGGTGAGCTTGTGGAGGTATATCCGACGGGGATGGAGTGCTATTTTGGACAAACTGAAGTTTGTGGTTGGAAATAGTAATGAGATTAAATTTTGGGATGATTGTTGGTGCGGAGATCAACCGCTGAAGGAGAGATTCCCTTCTTTGCATCGCATTGCCTCAGTGTCCACTGCTATGGTGAGTGATCTTTTAGACATTTATAATGGGAGTTATAGCTGGAATATTACTTTTTGGAGGGATCTTCAGGATTGGGAATTGGAAGATTATTTGCTGTTTATGACCATTTTACATGAGGCCCAAATTCGGGTTGGAGAGAGGGATTGCATCAGGTGGAGGACAGCACAGGATGTCATTTTTTCGGTTCGCTCGTACTTTGGTTCCTTCATGGGATGTGTGAATAATTCATTCCCCTGAAAGTTGGTATGGCACTGTAAATTGCCTCCTCGAGTGGCATTCTTATTGTGGACAGTTGTTAGGGGACAAGTCTCAACGGTGGATAATCTTCGTCGTAAAGGCTTTTACGCAATCGAGTGGTGTTATATGTACAAGAAGGATGGAGAGACGATCGATCATTTTTTCATTCATTGTGATGCTGTACGTTGGATTTGGAACAGTATACTCAGTTCACAATTGATGGATTGGGTGATGCCTCGTCGTATAGAGGACGTGATACGGGCATGGCGTAGAAAACTTCGGGATAAGGATAGCAAACTAGCATGACACTTTATCCCAGGTTGCATTGTTTGGAGCGTGTGGAGAGAAAGGAACAACCGTTATTTCGAAGACCAAACAAAGATAAGAGAGCAGATAAGAGAAACATTTTACTTTACCTTGTATTCTTGGTTCAATGCTGTGGCTAGAAATCATGTAGATGAGTTGCCTAATTTCATGTTTTTCCTTAATGGCTTAAAGTGATTGTACACCCCTCGTGTATTCTCTTTTAAGTAATCAAATTATTTGATTACCTATCAAAAAAAAAAATATTAGGAATTAGGGAATTATTTTTGTGGTCTTTAGCAACACAGTTCGCAAAGATAATGTGGTGGGCATGGTGGTAGCAGATGTAGATTTCCTATTAATTGTATTTTTGACTTAGTCGTGGATGATTTCAAAAACATCAAAGATGAAGTTTATTGGGATGGTAATGACAAAGTTTTATTTGAAGAAACCAATATAATGATAAATCTTAAGAACTTTAAAGGAACTTTTTGCTATCTAAAGGTTTTATACCAAGTTGAAGTAACAGAATATACATGGAATCTTTTTTCTAATTATAGGAATAAGGAATGTGGGAAAATCATTTTACATGGTCATGTTGTCCAAAAGAGTGAAATTTTAGGCGTTTAAGTTCTCTTATTCATGCAAAGGGCTCTAAGGGAACGTAATAAGTTGGATTATAGTGAGTACGACAAAACAGAAAAGAGGTACTTGGATTCGATATATTGGAAGATGCAAGATAAAGGGTAAGTTTTGCACAACAGTTTTGAACTAGGTATGATTTGTGGTACTTAGTGTTAGGTCTTTTGAAGACAAAAATGTCAATATATAAATGTACCTGGAAAAATGATGTTGAGATGAACATGTCATCATAATAAAATAAGAAAAATAGATGTATGCCAACAAATGGAACTGGCAACAATTGAGGATATTAAAGAAATAACTTGTAAAAAATTTGATTTCATTATACTTTTAAGAAATGTTCCAGACCGGTTTTGGTGATTTAGTCAGCTTGTTTCCTTAAAAATATTAAAAATTTCAAAGGCCCAAGAGCTATAGTTGCAAAGGGCCCATAAATGTGTGCTTTCTCGAGTTAATTGGCCGACCTTTATATAGTTAACCTCTTCAACATGTTTCCCTCTGAAATTTGATGTGCGAATTGGATAAAAAGGAACAACCTTCTTTATGTATATGATTATTTGTAAGTAACATTGGGTTACTTTTTATAATGTAAAATGTGCATTATAAATATCTTTAATTGAAAAAATGTAGAGTTAACTTGAAGTCTAAAAGAAATAATTGATTCTTGAATTGATTTCTCTTTTCATTCTAATTCTGTCTGTCTTTTAATTTTATTTTAATAACATGTAAAAATACTCTAAAAATATTTATGCGATTCATCAGCCATCGATGTTTTTGTCCCTCTATATATATTTTATCTGTTAAAAGTGGACATAAAAACAAAATTAAATGCAGTCAAGTTTAATGAGTGATATGGTCTATATGTAATAAAAAAATGGTCCATCTGCTTGATCCAGCAAAGGAGATATGAGAAGCACTCTGTCATAAAACTTGAAGAGAGAATGCAATCCTTGAAAGTCTTAGCTGGAAATTTTATAAATTTTTCCATATTTCTGCCATTACAATATTGTTTTTTATTATAAAATTCGTCGTCACGGAATTAGAATATTGAAAGTTTCCAAAGGATAGTAGAAGGAAATGTGGGAACAGAAGCAAACACCTCTCTTTATTTTGAGAACTCCTAACATCGCTTTAGGGGATAAAAGCTTTGTAATGCCTATGTGCTTTACAAATCATTACGCATTATTTTATATAAACAAGTCAAATGTGCCTATTTATACCTTGTTTGGGCTCCGTTAAAATGGAAAGTGTATTTTGGAATGGTATTTCTTGAAGAATGTAAGGCTAAAAAAGAGTGAAAAGTTTTGAATTTACGTGTAATATTATTTTATTGGAGAACATGTGGTTGAAAAGAAAGAGAGAGAAAAATGCATTATAATGAAATGGAGCCCAAATGGGGGCATAATTGGGGACCATAAACCAAATGATGACTTTATCTTGGAAGTGAAGGGAAAGAAATGGGAACTTGAGGACGAATAAGAGTGAGTAAGACGATTCGCACGAATACATTCCTGAACTATTGAGACTTCAAAATCCTTCCATTGAAGAGAAAGGTGAATTAATTGTCATATTAAGATCCTTTTACTTACATCTCATCGAGATCCACTGCCTATTTAACATTTTAAATTGTAAATAGAGTGAAAATTGCAGGAAAAAGATTCTTCTTCTAAACGTTCAGATGTGGGTTTATTATCTGTTTATGCATAATATACTGTTCTACTCTTCATTGTTTTTAGCTTATTATCCATTTCTATCAATTATTTCAGGTATACAGATAGAAGGAAGAATGCTATTCATCACTTCTATCAGGCTTTGTCAATGGATCCATTATTATGGGCTGCTTATGAGGAACTCTGTATATTAGGTCGGAATGAAGAATACTAATGCGATTTAGAATCTTTTGTTGTGGATATTCTCTAATTAGTTTTTTAGGGTCAAAAATTTACTTGACTGTATAATTTTGACTACTTCAAGTCAGTAGATGATGCCAATTATGTTTCCTATTTCAAGTCAGAAGATGATTTAAGAAGTTGATTTTTTTTTCTTGATACTTTTATCTTGATTTAACCACTTGCACTTTTTGATAGCCAAGAAGATTGGGATATATCATTGTTTCTTTTGCGTGTGAGCATCTTTTTTCAGTAGATAACATAGCGAAGCATTTCTACTTCCATAGCAGGGTGGTCAATGCTTAGGTTCTGTTTAGACATGTAAATTTCTAATTTCTTGACACATGCACGATTTATTTCTGTTTAGTTTCTTCAAACAAACAGAATATTCTATGATTTATTGCAATAAGAATAGAAGCTATAAAATTCTCTCCCTTGTCTCACCGTCAGTCAGTACATGCACGATAGATTTGGTTCTTGGTCTTCTATCTGTGTGCTTATTTCTCTCGACTTTGTTCACACATCTGTTAACTGGAGCAATGCTGATTCCATTTCCACTCTTATTTACTCAACACACGGTTATGTGTATTTTATTAATTATATAGTTGGGATCATTCCAGGAGCAGCAGAAGAAGCAACTTCAGTTTTTAGTGAAGGCGCTTCTTTATGCATTGAAAAGCAATACATGCATGATGAATTGAGTTCCAAGAGTTTGCAGGCATCAAGCGAAGATCATATTGTTGTTCCTAACCGAAGTCTAGGAGTAGAAGATGTTAGTCCAAGGCAATTGAAAGATATGCATGGTTATGATGTACGAGATATCTCCAGGAACTATCATGGAGCAGCTTCTAACCAGCCTCTAAATGGAGGCCCTGCTTCTTTTTCATTTTATAATACTCCTTCTCCAATGGCTACACAGTCACAGGTATGTTTATGCATAGTTTCTTTCTTTGAGCTGACTCATTGTTGGGGGCACTCTTGATTTTTTAATTCTCTTATAACATTTCTTTTGTGATTTGAGTGATAATGCCCTCACCTAATTTGATACGTGACTAAGTTGCACCTCAATTATCCTTTTTACTTCATTGGTTCCGCTGAAGAATATCTTACTAAGCTAGAGCAGTCAATCCAGCAGAAGTAGGGTGTACAATGAATCTTGTACTTGTTAAGATTTTTATTTGATGGTAATTGATTATCAAATTTATATGTCCCATTGTGGTTCGAGGTGTTAGGTGGGCCATGCTCCTGCTGGCCCATATGGGCTAATTTTAAAATAAATATTCAAACTTTATAGTGTAAAAAAAGAAAAAAAGAAAAAAGAAAAAAAAAGAGGCTGTTGTTCAAGATTTGTTGTAAAATTCAAAGCAATAAGAATGCCCTTCTATAAGGACTGACAAAACCTTTTGGTTTTGGTCAGCCCACGGAGACTTGGTTGTGGTGGGCTTGGGCAGCCCAACTACTTTACATTGTAGATTGTTGTCTTGCAACTCTTAGTTGATGTAGCGATGAACTGAACTTAATAATGAAAAATGATTCATTTAGCTGACCTCAAGTTACTGGAATAAGAAATAGGTTGTGGAACATCATTGCATACGATCTCTCACATCCTTTACATTCTCTACTTGTCTGGTTCTCATATGAAAGCAATATAATTAATTATTGTTTCTACATCATCCATTTTTTTATTTCTTTGTGTTATTGGTTGTGATTTGCTATGCCATTTATCTAATATGTATTGTGCTGCCAAATTTTGGGATTGGCATATTTATTATTTTTCTATAAACTCCTTTCTGTTGCACATTTGTAGGAGATGGGAACCATATGTGGTTCTCTCTCTCTCTCTCTGATTTACCATAAAATTAAAACTGCGTCCACCATTTGAATTTCAGTTGCTTTTAGCACTTGTCAAAGCAATAACTTCATGACTTGTTACTGTGTTGGTGCATCACATTAAGAGCTTCGATTAGTATTTATTTAGTTGCAAGTTGAGATGATAAAACAGAGTAGTTTGCATGATTTGTTGTTCTTTCTTCATTGTGTTCACATGATCAAGCTTTAACCCTGCTGCTCCAAATCACCAGTTTTGGCTATTGTCTGGTTCCTTCAGTCCCTGCGTAGTTTGAATCATGTAACTGGATGATAGAATATGGTTTTTTTCACTTTGATGTATGTTAGTTGTCCATTTTCATTTCCCTCGACAATCCTTCCTTTTGTTAGACTATGATCATGTTAACACTTAAGGAATCCTGCTATACTGTCTTCTTGGACTTTATTGATTTTGATTTTGGAAAGACACGTTTTGTCTGTATTTTCATACTTTTATGCTAAATTGTTTGATCTTAGACTCTTATATGCCTTGCAGTTGTCAGGTGTTGCTCCACCTCCAATATGTAGAAATGCACAACTGAATGGCCCAAACCTGAAAGCATCGGGAGCTGATAACTCTCCACGATTAGTGGTGAACTCAGCCGTTCCTGGTCCTAGGAGAAAGTTTGTGGATGAGGGAAAATTAAGAAAGGTAAGTACACTGTAATTTTTCTGTAATATTTTTATTTCGTTAGTGGTCGTTTAATAGGTACACCTTTACTTCATTGCTGTCTTGATTCTGGAATTATCACTTACTATGTTCTTTCATTGTTGTTATCATTCCCGTTCTCTTGTGCTGTTCTCTCTTTCTCCCTCTTTGCCATGATATTCATTATTGAAACACAAAAAAAAAAGGGGAAAAGAAAAAGAAAAATAGTAACAACGCATGATATAATGATATTTGGCAATGGGACTCTGTCTGTGAGGGAGGAGAGTTCTTTCATTATCATGATTCTTCAATTATAAATTTGACAACTACGTAGTAGAACAAACCACATTATCACCAGAAACAAAATTTAGTGGGTGATCAAGGGCTTGATATGGATGAACAGGTTATCAACCCACTAGTGGAGTATTCGGTTGTCAATGACTCAATCCCCCTAATAAAGTGTTCATTCCCAAATTTTAGCATAACCTTCTTCATATGAAAAATAATAAATATTGACCCACTAATGAAGTAATCACCCATCACTCCCCCATAGTACTTAAATGTTAGCATTAGTGTTGAATGTGGCACATCTTGGTCATCTTTTTCTAGTTTAAAACATGAATTTCACATTTGGACTCGTTAGTGTCTTTTTCTTTGTCCTTAAGTTTGAGTTTGTAATTTTTGGGGCAAGGTTAAAAGAAAAATACTTGTTATGACATCAGTTCCTCCTCTTCATCTTTTGAATCAACATATTTGGTAAGTGTTGTAAGAGATAAGGAAAAGACCTAATTACCTTCAATTCAGAAGAAATAAGAGGCACCACAAGTGAAACCCTCCCTCGACCCAGAAGCTCTAAAAGACTGGCGAACACCTTGCCACCCACCTCTGCCACCACAGGAGTTGAACCTATCCCATAATACCTCCATGAGCACCTCTCCATTAGGCTAGGGCAAAAAAATCGAAAAATTAACCAAACCAATCAACCCGAACTAAGGTTTGACAAATATAATTGGCTTGTTTTGGTTTTCTTTTAAACAAAACTATGGTGAGTCGGTTCAGTTATGGTTTGAAATCTTAAACCGTTGGTTAACCGAACAACCCAACGCACTTGCACGTTTACTATTTTTTTTTAATTTAAGAAGAATTAAAATAAAAAGATAGGCCTTAATCTCATAACTATATCTCGATTCCCTCCAATCTATGATGTTGTCGGTAAGTAATAGCACTGCGAATTTTCTTTCACAAATTCATTATATTATACTTAGCATTTTTCCCCCATTTAGGCAGTTAGACTAATAATATATCAAAAAACGAAAATTTTAAGTTTTCCATTGACCTGTCTTTATTAACATGATCTTATTTGTTAGTCAATAGTTCTTATAATATAAAATTATTTGGTTATTTTAGTTCTTGTAATTTAAGTGGGCCCAAAACTCGGACAATTTTTTTAAAAAAAAATTCAATTTGGACTAAATGTCCAAATCGACTACTTTTTATGTAGTACCCATCAGTAGAAGACTGACACCTGGTCCACTAAAATACCCTGCAGTATCATCTTTGTCTCTCAAGATAACATGGTCCAGTCTTTGTCGTAACCAAACCAAGCTGGAAAAGTTCTCTAGATAAAGAAGTCCTTTAACAGATGAACTGGTTATGTTTGGTTCATTGGGGCTTAAGTAATGGGTTAGACTAGACGTGGTGGGTGAATGGTAATTAGATCTACCTACTAATAAAATGCTCCTATGCTGTTGAAATATTAAACGATAAATTCCCTCAAAGTTCACTCTGGGAAGGATGAACTTAAATAGCCACGGGGTGAGATAAGTGGCATTTTTTTTTCCAAGAAGCTGAAAAATAAATTGATCAAATACATAAACATGATAAATGGTCCTTTTCTTGATTGGCATAACCAAAATTCTAAAAATTGCACCTTAGAAACTTCACAATATGTTTCCGTAAATGATACATGCATGTTTACTTTTATTTCCAAATATTGATTACTTGCTCAATATAACAACTTCGATTATTTTTGCACTTACTTCCCTATTTTCCCCTTCTATAATTGTTCATGTTGACAGCATGCAGCTTCAAGTAAACTGGTTTGTGGTTCAACTGGTGCATGGTTCTACATTTTTTTTTAATTTTTTTTTTAATATATGTATGGAGTGTCAGATATGATGTTAAGCTCATGAATGTTCTTAGATATGATGTTAAGCTCATGAATGTTCTTACTTTCGACCTACAGCTTAGACTTACTCATAGATCTTGTTTCTTTCTTGTTCCCATACAGTTCTTCTCCACTTTTCACGTATCCTTTGAATTTTACATTATCTTATCTGTTTTATGTCTCTAATCTTTTCAGCATCCAACACTTTTGTTTCTTTTATATGTACTTGAATGTCTATTGATCTTATTCAATGTTGATGTGTTGTGTTTTTGCTTACTGAGTTGTTAATCCATTTGCATTCAGGTATCTGAGAGGTTATTTTCTGATTCCAGACAACGACGAAGCATGAGACTTGGTGGAGAATCTCTGGTCAACACAAATCCAGGTGCATCAGTAGCTTCTGGGAATGGGAGAAACCACTCTTCTAAAAATATTGTGGGTTCTAAATCAAACTCTGTGGTATCACGTTCAGTGACAATTCGAAAAGGACAGTCATGGGCTAGTGAAAATTCAGATGAAGGTGATTTCACTTATCCTCTATGAATTTCTTTTACGATTTCTGGTCTTCTCATTATTTTGTAAGGAATATCATTAACTATTCAATTAAGGATGGAAAGCAAAACCCCAAGTGACATGGATCAACTCCAGTGAATTGTTGGTTGGGATTATTTATAAAATCTGTAGGGTTCTTGATATAAGCAAGGTACACCCTGCTGAGGAAAGCAAGGGAGCCAGGACCAGTTGATGTTTCTTTGAATTTGTACACTTAGATTTGCAACAGTAATTTGAGTTTTAAATTAATTTATTTTGCCTTACAGCCGTGCGGCATTAAATGTGGGACACCCTAGAATTGGTAACAGTTGATATTGATAAAAGTTTACTGATATTAGTTAACCTAATATGACTGGGCTAATACTATAATATTTAAACTCGAAATATAGAAAGTGAAGGGAAGAAGAGAATAAAACATAAATTTTATATCTGATGCTATTTGGTCTTTTGTGTTTGTATCCTCACTAACCAAAGAACTTTTACTTTTATAGGGACTCATTATGATAATTATGATGATTCTCGTTTAGATATTACAACATCCAGTTTATCCCCCCGCAGTGACGCTAGAACTCTTGAGCAAGAAGCGGCTGCGAGGCCTTCAGGTCCAGCTGTCGTGAGTAGCTCAAGAGTCGCAGCTGGTGCCTCTGAAATATTGGGCCTCTTAATGATTCTTGGTGAAGGTTACAGACTCTCATGTCTCTACAGATGCCAGGTAGTAAGACTTGTTTACCTAGTTAGTTTACTAAGAGACTGCGAAAGTCTTTTAGTAATTTAAGATCTTGAAAAAAATGCTTGCAATTGATATTCTGACTATGTATTGAACGTTCTAATGCTTCTGCTGGAGTAGGATGCTCTAGATACATATATCAAACTTCCACAGAAGCATTATAATACTGGATGGGTGCTTTCTCAGGTAAAATTTTCAGTTCGCTTCCGTTATTCTCATGTTAGGCGTTTTACACATCCTTATAAAACTCTGTACTTTTAACTTATGTCTGTTATACTATTGTTCTAATGAAGAACATTGGTCGTTCTGAGGCTTGTTTGTTTTGAGACACAATCTTTGATGAGCTAGAACCAATTCCTTCTGAGTTAATAGGTCAAAACCCAAGCACATCGGAGATAAAGATGCTACAGAAAGCTTATTCTGATGTTGCCTACTTATTAGCCATTTGCCAACCTTACCTCTACTGCTCCAAGATGCTTCTATGAGAATTTGTTTTTTCATTGAATTTACTTATTGTCAAACTGTGTTGGAGTTTTGATACATGAATGTTGTTATTTTGTTCGGACACTAGAAATATAAATACAACCCAAATTCTCTTAATACAACTAATAGTCACTCAGATTCAAAAGATTTCACCTGCAAAATTGAACATACAATGAGAAAAATGAGTATTGATTTTATTGAGAACATAAAAAAGTAAAAGCAAAGATATAATATTTAAATGCAAAATTTTAAAGAGTTGTAATCTAGGTGTACCTTTGTCCTTTTTTTTTCTAAAAATTATCAACATGTCCATGTTGTGTGTCTTGCTTCCAAGCTTCATAGGCCAAATCCTATATTTATCTTGTTTAGATTTGTGCCCTGAAGTGATTGCTTTCTATAACAATTTGATTAAATCTCATATGTACTATTGTTCAACCTGTTGGTGGAAGCAGCGCAAAAAAAAAAAAAAAAAAAAAGATGGAATTGCAGATTGAATAACAGTAAAAACATGGTGCAAAACCATACAATAAAAATAAAAGATAAATTATAAGACAGAGCAGTTAGAATTTAGAAAAGAAATGAAATCATCTGTTTTATTTTGTCATGTATATGTTGTAAATTTTCACTGTTTTGCAAATTTTCAAGCCAAATCTGCTGATGTATATTTGACATAACTTACAAAGAGAGCAACAGCAAGTGCTTGTGTGCCACGAGGGGGGAGGAAGGATCTCTGCTTTGATGGAGCTCAGAGAAGAGAGTTTTGGGGGGTCGAGAAACGGATGAACCTAAGGAAGCATTTTGTGAAGTATATAAAAAATAGAAAGCAAAATTGGTGAGGCAGGTAGATAAGAGGCAATTATTGAGCCTAGTAGTAGTTTGAGCTTTTTAAGAATGAGCAAAGTGCACTTTCTGATTTTTTCCTTTTGAGGTTATTGGAAAGTAAGATGAGGGAAAATAACTGAATCCATAGAGATTTAGGCCAGGAAATGTCAGCTGTTTTTGGTCCGTAGTAGAATTGTATGATGCATAGCTTGTGATACCTAGTAAAGAAACTCTGAAACTTTGCTTATCATATAAGTCTGTTTTTCTACACAGATTCTTTTGAATGTAATCTACTCTATGAGTTGATTTTTTTTTTTTTTTTTCAACATTTATTTAGAAATGGTGTTAATGCAATCAATTTCATGAACTTCTCTGCATTGTATTACTCTTTAGTATAATGTTGTAAACTTAATTTATGGCATTCTTATTCATCGCCATGCGTGGTGTCAACACATTTCTATCTCTGGACGTTTGCTGTTATCTGATCATATGGCTTCATATATGGTCATTCAAAGACAGGTTGGAAAAGCGCATTTTGAAATGGTTGATTATATAGAAGCAGATCGCGCCTTCAGTCATGCACGGTTGGCTTCTCCATACAGTTTGGAAGGAATGGATGTACATTCTACAGTTCTATATGTGAGTTTTTCCCATTTTTGGGTTCTATTCTTTATCGGAAATCACAATAATGCTTATGTTGTCTAATGTAAAACAGAAAGTAAACTGAATAATTCTCTCTCTTCAAATCCCCTGTATATATGTCTAACACAGCAATCAATTTCATTTGTATAGCCTCAAATAAATCCCACTTTCCATTTTTGAAGGTATTGATATGAATCTCCTGTTTGAGATGGGAGCATTATTTTTAATAGTAGATTGCATAAAGGTCAGGTTAGAAGTGAAATAATTTCATATGAATTTCTGAAATACTCTTATAAAAAAAAAAAAAAAAAAAAAAAAAAATTTTAA